TTCCATTTCAGCAAATCCAGTGTGCAGCCCAGCTTTTTCAGACCATCATCACATCCAGGGTACAACGACTTTCTGTGATCCTCTAACATGCGATCCAAATTCTCCCTCTCCTTTTCAGTTTCGCAGCGTCTTCGTGCATCAGCAATGGTCCGACCAAGATCATCAACGGTCTCATCACGTGCCTCTTCTTCACCTTCACCTTCACCTTCCCCTTCACCTTCCCCTTCACCTTCCCCTTCACCTTCAGCATCCTCCATGAAAGTATCACCGAAATGAGCAAGATAGCTTTCATCGATGAAATCATCCCCTTCTTCATCTTCTTCCATTATAACCCCTCTTTCTCCATGCTTGGTCCAACAATTATAGCTTGGCATGAAACCGTGCCGAAGCAGGTGCAGGTGAACTTCTCTTGAGGAAGAGTAACCCTTCTGATTCTTACAGTCAACACATGGACAGATAACAAAACCCTTCTGCTTGTTCGCATTAGCCACTACGAGGAAATCTTTCAAACCCGTAGTGAACTCGCGGGAGAGTCGGTTACCGTACATCCATTGCCGATTCATCTGCATTATTATAATATAAAATATATAATTAACCATCATGCATTTGTTAAAGTAACTAGCTATAAACAATAGAAATTAAACAATGAACAACACACATGCATATTTTATCAATGACAGACATGCATGAAAGGTTCAAGTTGCTAACCACGATCGAGGAGGAACCTCAAGTGTGGCTCCAACACTTCATATCATGTTTGTTTCACGCTGTTGGGCATTTCATCAAACACCTTGTGTGCATAAGAGGAACCAAAAGCAAACCTACACCCCCTTGTGAAGAGAAGTGGCACCAAATGGCTAAGTGAGTGCGCTGAACCGGTATATATAGGGGAGGAGCTTTAGTCGCGGTTGGCCAGGCCAACCGCGACTAAAGGCCTTTGGGCACCTTTAGTCGCGGTTGGCCTGGCCAACCGCGACTAAAGCTCCTCACGTGCACCAGCTGGCCACCGAGCGCCCTGGCCCAAGCCTTTGGTCGCGGTTCGTCTGCCGAACCGCGACTAAAGACTTCATTAGTCGCGGTTCCTACAGTTTCGCGACTAATGGGGCTGGACGGAAGCGTCTTTTTCTACCAGTGTTCGCCCCAACGCCGACGTCCAACAACCATCCGCCATGCTTGCCGCTGTCTCCACCGACCTGTGGCGCCAGACTCGGGCATCCCGGACGCGCCGCCCTCTCTGCAATAACATCATCTTTTGATTTTCAGTGTAATAAGTCGCAGGCCCATACTTGCCATGCCTGCCAGCTTGGCAAAAGTGTTCGGCAGCCCTACTCTGCCTCTTCCACCATAGCTGCTGCTCCTTTTCATTTGTTACACTGTGATGTATGGACATCTCCCATTGTAAGCAACTCTGGTTTTGCTTATTTTTTGGTTATTTTGGATGATTACACCCACTTTGCCTGGACTTTCCCTCTCCGTCGTAAATCTGACGTGTTTGAAATCCTAGTTTCCTTCCATGCGTTCGTGCATACCCAGTTTCAGCGTCCGATCCTTGCGTTTCGCACGGATAACGGCCGTGAATTCGACAACCGTGCCTTCCGAGCTTTCCTCACCACGCATGGCATCGCTTTCCAACTCTCCTGCCCATACTCCTCGCCACAGAACGGCAAAGCTGAACGCATCATACGCACACTCACCGAGGGCCTCCGCAGCCTGCTCTTCCATGCCTCTCTACCCCCCAAATTCTGGCCCGACGCCATCGCCACGATCACGTATCTCCTCAACCGACGGCCGTGTCGCCCTCGCCGGCTCACCACTCCCTTCGAGCTCCTCCACGGTTCCCCACCATCCTACCAGCACCTCCGTGTCTTCGGCTGCTTATGCTACCCAAACACCACCGCCACTTCTCCGCACAAGCTCGCGCCCCGCTCGCGTGCGTGCGTCTTTCTCGGCTACCCTCCCGATCACGCTGGCTACAAGTGCTTCGATCCTCTCACCGGTCGCGTTTATATCTCACGTAGCGTGCACTTCGACGAGCGTGCCTTTCCATTTGCGCAGGTCTCTGACGTCTCCGCCTCGCCATCGGCCCCGCCTTCGCCGCTCCTCTGCGACGACGGCCCCACACCGGTTCCTCCGCCACGCGCCCAGCGGCATGCCCGCGTCGGCACGCCCCCGTCACCGGCTACACCACCTGGGACTGCTGCCGCGGCCTCTACCTCGTCCGCCGCGGACCCCTTCGGCTCGGCCGCCACACCTGCGACCTCGACCGGTGGCTCGTCTTCGACCTCGACCGCGGACTCGTCACCACCATCACCCGCTGCATCGGTCGGCTCCTTCGTCCCGACCACAGGCTCGCCGCGCTCCTCGATGCCCTCCACGGCGTCACGCGCCTCGTCGGCTTCGCCACCACCTTCGGCGGATAGATCGTCCGGCTCGCCGCGCTCCACGACGCCCTTCGTTGCACCCCGCGCGTCGGCGGCATCGGCGGCATCGACACCTTCCTCGCCTGATGGCTCGCCCGGCTCCTCCACAGTCGCCGCGACTACGCCGCCGTCCACACCGCCCTGCCTCTACTCGGCTGCACCACCGGCCCCTTCTCCAACACCATCGGGCCCCGGTCACCGCATGATCACACGCGCCATGGCTGGCGTCCGCCGTTGCAACACCAAATACGATGCGGACTATGTTCTCACGGCCGGTGTTGTCGCGCCTTCGCCGCTTCCCACGTCGGTGACTGCTGCCCTTCATGATCCAGCATGGCGCGGCGCCATGCAAGAGGAGTATGATGCCCTCTGTGCGAACCGCACATGGACGCTTGTCCCACGTCCGCCCGGTGCCCACCTGATCTCCGGCAAATGGATCTTCCGCCATAAGCTGCGACCCGACGGCTCTCTCGACAGATACAAGGCACGATGGGTTGTGTGTGGCTTCTCTCAGCGGCCGGGGATCGACTACACCGATACATTCTCCCCGGTCGTCAAGCCCGCCTCGATCCGTCTCGTTCTCCAGCTCGCGGCGGCTCGCTCGTGGCCCGTTCACCAACTTGACGTCAAGAACGCGTTCCTCCACGGCGAGCTCACCGAACATGTCTACTGTCAACAGCCGGCTGGGTTTGTCGATGCCTCGCGCCCCTCCGACGTATGCCTGCTCTCCAAGTCCCTATACGGGCTCAAGCAGGCTCCTCGGGCATGGTTCGCCAAGTTCGCCGGGTGTTTGTCTCAGCTGGGCTTTGCGGCGACCCGCTCTGACGCGTCCCTGTTCGTCCTCAAGCAAGGGCACAGTGTCGCCTACCTCCTGTTGTATGTCGATGACATCGTGCTTACTGCATCCTCCGACGCTCTCCTCCGGCGGATCATCAGCCAGCTGCACGCTGTCGTGTCTCTCAAAGACCTCGGGCCCCTGAAGTTCTTCCTCGGCATCCAGGTCCAGCGCTCTAGCTGCGGCTTTCTCCTGCATCAAGCACAGTACGCCGAGGACCTTCTGGAGCGGGCTGGCATGACCTCGTGTCACCCCGCCCCGACACCCGTCGACACCAAGGCCAAGCTCTCGGCAAACGACGGCCACCTCGTCGAGGATGCCGCCTTCTATCGCAGCATCACTGGAGCTCTGCAATATCTCACCCTCACGCGTCCAGACTTGACATATGCAGTTCAACAAGTCTGTCTCCATATGCATGCGCCTCGCCAACCGCATTGGGCCATGGTCAAATGAATACTGCGGTATGTGCGCGGCACCACTGCGTACGGGCTCTCCATCACCGCCACGTCGCCCACCGACCTCGTCGCCTACACCGACGCCGACTGGGCCGGCTGCCCGGACACTCGCCGGTCGACATCCGGCTACTGCGTCTTCCTTGGTGGCACGCTCATCTCGTGGTCCAGCAAGCGACAGCCCACCATCTCTCGATCGAGCGCCGAAGCCGAATATCGAGCCGTGGCCAATGCGGTCGCCGAGTGCTGTTGGGTGCGACAGCTCCTACACGAGCTCCACTCCGACTTGGGCAAAGCTACGGTTGTCTTCTGCGACAACGTCTCCGCTGTTTATCTCTCACAGAATCCAGTACATCATCGCCGCACGAAACACATCGAGCTTGACGTTCATTTCGTCCGCGAAAAAGTTGCGCTTGGCCAAGTTCGTGTACATCACGTCCCAACCAGCCAACAATTCGCTGACATTATGACGAAAGGCCTACCCGCTGCAACCTTTGCGGAATTCAGATCCAGTCTGTGCGTCGTCA